CTGGCCTGGCCCAGCCCCTCTTTCCCGCGCTTCGATCCAGGTGAGCGCAGGCCCAGCGCCCTGCGCTGAACCGAAGGTCCCGGCCCGGATCCGGGGTTTTCCCTGCCCGGCACTCCCCCCAGGCACCGCCCGGAGTTGCATCATCTGCACCTGGACACTGCCGAGCAGGACCAGCCCCGTGCCCCGCACGCCTCTCGGGTGCTGCGGCGATCAGATCCCCCCACCTCCTGGGCTCTCCCCTCCCCCTAGTCCAGACCCCTTGAAACCAGGGACTGCGTTCCACGTGGCCCGCAGTCCCCACCTCAGGCTCCGCGGCTGCAGAGCAGGACCCCGCTGTCCACGATCTCTGGGGCACTGAGCAGGGACCTGGGTGGAAGTTTTAGGGAGTTGTACTGTTTCGATGCCTGTCATTGATTTTTTGCTGCATTTTGGATGAGAAATGGCTGTTTTGCAATCGCTCTTTCCCGCCGATTGTGTGGGGTGGGGGTAAATATTGAGGTGGTTGCGCGGGCGGCACGTGAGCTGGGTGTTTGCTCGGGGTGGGGGGTGGGTGCAGGGCACGCGGGGCTCTGCCCTGACCCTTCCACTTGCGGGAATCCCAGGAGAGGTGGATGGGTCAGCCGGGAGTGCGGACGGCGAGTGGGGGAGGGGCGGCAGAGCAAAACGCGTAGCTTTCCAAGAGTTTCCTGAGTGTCCTAGTCCGAAACTTTGACCTAAAGTGTCCCTTCCGAAGGCCGAGTGACAGAAATGTTTCCTGACCCCTCCTCCGTCTTCCCCTTCCCTACCTCGCCAAGAGCCTCAGACTCCCATATTCGTTTATTGCTGTCCACACATGCAGCCCTAACCAGCTCCCTCTGGGCCCACCTCTCGCTGGGGTGCAGGGGCGTCCTTAGGGGCGTCGTGACTCCAGGGGGGCTGTGTGGCTTAAGGTGCGCGCGGAGCCGTCCTGGGTTCCAGGTGAGCTCCCCTCCCCAGGACGCAGGTGCGTCTGCCCACTAGGTACTGTCGCCGCGGGAGATCCTAGCCCGGCAGACCAGAACCCTGGGCTTAGGACGCGGGTAGTCAAACGAGCTTCCGGCCCAACACCCTTGGGTTCAGCGGAGACGAGACCCCCTGGGATCTGTGCACCCAGCAGCCCGTCACCTTGTGCGCCAGTGCGAGGCGAGTCTCCAGAAACGAGGCTCGGGCGCTTGCGTCCATCGTGGGCGGGTCTACAAGGCGTTCTGGCTAGTGTGGCTCGTGATCAACAGGCCAGGGCCACCGCTGGTCTGCCTCTGACGCGGAGGCATGCTAGGACTGGAACCACCGGCCTGTTTTATTGGAAAGGTGTGAGGAGACCCGTGGTACCGCTTCTCTGGGTGCTGTGGTGTCTGCTGGGCGCCAGTCTGCTCTGGCCACCTGTGTTAGGAGACAGGGAACCCGGTAGGGTCGCACCTGTCCTGGCCAATGGCAGCAGTGCAGGGTTGGGGCAACCTGGGAGGTGTTGGCCCAAAGAAGTGAACTGGATTAACCGGCCCAAGAGCTTTCATTCACAACTCAAGTGAGGAGAAATGGCTGTTTCGAAATCGCTCTTTTCAGCGGTTGTATGGGGGGTTGTGTGGGGCCGGGGATAAATAGATAAAAAGCTTTGTAGTTGCCCAGGCAGCGGAGGTGGGGGTGGGACGGATGGCACAGGGCATATGAGAATGAATAAACCGTTATTAAATCCAGTTCTGACTGTCTATAGCAAACTGGAAGCTGGGGAGTTGCAGGACTGGTGTCTGGATGGGGCTGTGCCCAGAGACCCTGAACTGTATCTCCTCTCCGAGTTTCTCAAAGGCGCTTTCCAAGCCCAGGCGGCTCCAGCAACTTATTTTTCAATTTTTGTTTTTGTTTTTGCTATAGACCAAGTACACTGTCGGGAGAGAGGAAAAGTAAAGAGCCACTCCACAATCCCTTCTCCACTCTCTGGAGATTTGGGGCATGCACACACACATACCCAGCATGATTTTCAAGCCACCGGGATTTGAATTGTGTAGTCAGCCATGTGGGATCCAGCTACCTTAACCCGCCACCACCTGCTAGCCCTTTCAATAGGTTTTTGTTTTGTTTTTGAAGGTTTTTGTCACAGGGGGCATGCACTCACCAGAAAGACAGCAAGAGGGAAAGTGAGAAGTCATACCCCAGTGGGTATAGCCAGTCCACAATCCCTTCTCCATTCTCTTCTTGGGATTTTGGGCACATACGCCACCTGCTGGCACTTCGATACATTTTTCAACAACAATTTTCAGTTTATAGAAAAATGGAGCTGATGTGCTACCAGGAGATAGCATACTGGTTAGGTCACTGGACTCCCATGTGGACTCACGCCAGGCACATGTATGTGCGTGCCCAAAATCCTGACAGGAGAATGGAGGAGCAGGGATTGCGGCATGGCCATTCTCCAAGGGGGTGATTTCTCACTTTTTGTTTCTCTGTCTCCAGCAAATGCACACGCTCTATAGCAAAAAATCTCTCTCTCTTAAAAAAAAAAGGAAAAAGAGACAACAGCATCTAGAGTTCCACTCTGCCATCCTGAATGACTACACTGTCACACAGTGACAGATCGTTGTCAGCTCCATATTTTCATCCAATTTCCGCAGTTGTTCCCCAGCTCCCTTTTTCTGTTCCAGATCCCAAGTTACATTTCACTGTCTCCTTATAGAGCTCGAGGTGTGTGAGTTCTCAGACAGCCTGGTGAGTGAGGGCCATGGCACTTGGCTGGGGACTTGATCTTCCTGTTGAATGTGGAAAATGAACGGAGGCCCAAAGAGGCCAAATTCAGTCCTGGTCTTTGAAGCTGACATGATGTGGGCGAGCATTCCTTCATGGCTCTCCAGAATCAGTATAGAAGTCTGTGGTGGTATACAGTCACGATGCCATGCCACTGTCATCACTGTTTATACCCAAAGTGTTTCATTGTACCTGGCAAAACCTGTGCCCTCTGCACCCATGGGACAGTCACTCCCCCTCCCCCGGAACCTCTACCTTGGTGAGTTTGCCTGGGTGCTTGTATGAGCCAGACACAGGACATTGAACTACTCTAGGGGTCTCTTATAAGTGGGACTGGAGAGTTTGTCCTTTTGACTGGCTTATTTCACTGAGCATAACGCCCTCAGAGTTCATCTGTGTTGTAGCAGGTGTTAGAATTCCACACCTTTTTATGTCTGAATAATATTCTAGTGTGTGTCTAGACTGCATGTTTTCTATCCATGCAGTGAACACTGCAATTCCACCTTTTGGCTATTGTGCAAAAGACTGCTATGTGCATGGTGTGCAAATATCTGTGTCCTTTTTTTGGGTATATGCCTAGGAGTCAAATTGCTGGGCCATATGGTAGTTCTATGTTTAACCTTTTGAGAAATGGCCAAACTCGTCTGCAGCAGCTGGAGCCTGTATTTTTATGCTTGGACTTATTTGGATACCTGGAGCCCCACATCCGGAGAGGGTGGGTAAGCAAGATTTGCCAGATCGAACAGGATGAAGCCGAACTGACGTCTCTCCCCTCTCTTTGGTAGATCTCAGCATGCCTTCCGAGAGATCCTCAGCAGAAGGGGCTGCAGGATGCCCCCAACTCTCAGGGGCCCACTCAGGGAGAGGGAGCCTGGAAAAGGGGCCCCCAGCGGACAAGGAGATTAAGGAGCACCTGTGGATTCGCCCCGATGCCCCAAGCAGATGCACCTGGACACTGGGCCAGCCTGTCGCCAACTCCCCGCATCACCACACTGCCCCGTAAGTCACAGCTTCGATCACAGAAGGATTATCGTTTACCTTGGTGGGCAGGGGACTCAGTTGACTCAGTTGTGATCCCCAGTGTCACCGTAGGTGCTCCGTGAGCTGGGGTGGGTGAGTGTAGTCAGCTGAAGTGCTAAGAGGCCAAGATACTGCAGCCAGCACCTAGGCCTGTCCCCGGCCGTGCTTGCTGAGTAAGTGAATGTGCCCAGGCCACAGGCTTTGAGTGAGTGCTGGAGATTTCTCACCCAGGTCTGTCTGGACCCACAGGTGTTCGACAGGTGAGTACATCTCCTTTCAGTAATCAGGATTGTGCCTGTGGTCTCCTATTTAGCTCTCGGCCACAAACACTCCCTGGTCACTAAATGTTCTGTAGGGAACATTGTTTATGATGGGACAGAGACTGTTGGATGAATAAACCATAATTAAAAAAAAAAATTGGCAGAGGGTGCGTGCACTTGTGAGAGACAGAAATAGAGAGAAAGAGGAAGAGAGCACCCGCCATGGGGCATGGTCACACCACAGGCCATTTTCCTTTATCCTTCCCTCATTTAGCATTTGAGGCGCACACACGCGTACCCAGTGTGTTTTTCAAGCTGCTAGGGCCAGTATTTCAACCACTCGATCAATGATATGGGATCTAGCTCCCTTAATCACTAGGTCATGGAGCCGCCCCATAAATACTCATTTTTAAGTCCTCTTATGGGTAAGTAGATGGTTGCAATGATCTCTTTTTAAATAACTGCAATGGAAAGCATTAGATAAAGATCAGTCAACAAATCTTTATTAAGCATCTATTATATTACCCTTCCTTTTTTTTTTTTTTTTTTCTTCCTTGATTTTTATTTTTTATTTTTTAAGAGGTTTTTGCCTCAGGGCTCATGTGCTTACAGGGGGCAGGGGTGGAGGGGATAGAAACAGTAAGAGGGAAAGTGAGAAATCACTCCCCAGAGGGGATGTTCTCACCCCACAGTCCATTCTCCTCCTGGGATCTTGGGCACCCACGCACACGTGCCTGGCATGATTTTCAAGCCACCAGGTTTGGGATTCAAACTGCGAATGACCATGTGGGAGTCCAGTGACATAACTGCTATGTCACCTGTTGGCCCCGGTGAAATGATTTTTCTTTTTGTTAGAGAGCAGAACACTGGGGTGACTTTGAGGAGGTACTCATTCTCTTGGAACCCTCTCATACTCGTATCGTCCCTTAGGCCACATTTCATCTCTTTTGTAAGCTATTGAGTTCTTTCAGGAATGAAATGTAAAGTATTCAACAATCTCCTAATTGTTCACAGAGATTTTACGAAGTGCCTCACTAGTAGACTGCAGAAATAAGACTGTATTTCTAGGTCACTTCTGATCTAGTTGCAATTTTCTGCTAACTCTGGGCTGCCAGGAGACCCTGTAAACATCATCATCCTTATATTACTCTTTTTAAGTACAGAAAATACATTGGTCAAAAAAAAGAAAAAAGAAAAATCCCTGCCCCATCATGAAACTTAAATCGAACTCACTCAGTTTTGGGATTTTATTTTCTTAGTAGAATCTCCTTGAAGTAGAACAAATGGATGAAAGTGCTTTCAGGTGTTTTATTCTTATTCTGTGTCTGCTGCTACTGACAGTTGTAGTTATTGATTTAAAAAACAGAGTGTGTCGGGGGTGCATTCTCAGTGGGGTCAGTAGGAAGAAATGAAAACACAAACCCAGAAGCCCTGCGCGTGAAATGTATCTCAGTGCTGGAAGCTCAGGCGGGGGGACGGGCAGAAGGATGAGCCCTCCTGCCAAGACAGACCAGGGCGGTGGGCGAGAGGCCCTCACAAGACCAGGGTGTGGCCTCAGACGTGGGCTGGCAAGAAGACCTGCATTCCTGAGCTTCTGAGTCCAGGGCCCGGGCAGGAACACCACTGTCCAAGCTATGAGATAGAATTACACCCGGGCCCCAGACTGGGCCAGTTCATCCCCACAGAGCACCCTCGGGGCTGGCATCTCGTCCTCAATGCAGAGTCCGGGGGCACTGACCCAGGTTGTGCGCACTCTCACTCAGGGATGTCATTGGTGGCACAGGGCTGGGAGGACACCCCCAAACACTAGACTGAGGTTCCCTGGAGGGAGATGCAGTCACTGAAGATTCCTGATACTGAAAGCAGGTGGGGTGTTGGGATGAGGGTGAGGTGGTGAGGCAGCCTTTTCGTAACCAGAAGGTGCCAGCCATGAGGGATCTGAGGAAGGGGATTACTGAGGGTTATAGGTTAGGAGGGGCCCAGGAGAGCCAGTGTGGGGAGCAGATGGCAGAGGGGAATGAGGGCTACCCTGATGGTCGGGAGTTCGGGGTTATTCTCAGGTGTTCTTGGGGCTGTCCCACCCCTTCCCCTGTGGCCTCCTGGCCTGTCAGGTGAGATAAGATGACTCCACATTGTCATCTCTGTGACTGAGGCCCCGGTCACCTCTGCAAACTTCCCAGCTGATTTTGCAGCTGCCCAGGCCCCATTGCTGACAGCAACCTGAGCTGTCACTGGTCCTTTTCTCTGCCCAGGGGAATATGCCTTTCTCCCCGTCCCTCCCCCATGGGAGATGCAGAGCTCACCTCTGTGCCTCCTGGTCTTGAACTGAGAGAACCCACCCCACCATGGCCCTAGGGCTGGATTCCTGCCTGGTGTCCTCCAGAGCTGAGTCAGGAGCTCTCTGCCAGCCTGGTCCCATCAACCCCTGGCCTGCTTGGGCCTTGGGTGGCTTCTCCCTACTCCCACATGTTCCTTCCACTGCCCCGCCCCCTCCTCAGGGGCAGGGCCCACCTAGGGTGTAGGCGCCCATACGCAAGTCTGGGTCAGGGAGTCGAATCCGAGGGTGAGGATGCCATCGCAGGTCTTGAGACCACTGTGAGTTGCACATATTTCCAGGCGAATATTCAGTGAGTCTGGCGTTGGTACAGACAGTCAGAAAACGGGGACTGGCATCTGTCCCTGAGGGAGAGGAGGACAGGAGTAGTGCAGGGCCACTTAGAAACCTCCTGGACTGTGGTTTGCATATACAAAGGTACAGGAATGCAGCCTCAGGCCTGTCGCCTGCCGGTAGGGGGGATGAATGCTGGGGGCCCCAGGGGCAAGAGTGACCCAGTTCTGTGCGCTTTCAATCCCGAGTTCAGCCTTTCAGCTCACCTGTGCCAGGACTCTTCCATGCAATGCCAGGAGTCTGGGTGGCTCGTGGTGTCATTGTCACTGTCCAAGGTCGGAGGTCTGAGGAATCTGCCCTGGGATTAGCTGATCATTTTTTGATCAAAGAAAATGAAAGAAAAGCAGACATCCCAGTAGGCAGGTAAGGAGAGATCTAAGAAACTGAAGTTCCTCAGCTGGGCCAGCTGGTGGCGTGGTTAAGGCAGCTGGATCCCACATGTCTGCACAATTTGAGTTCCATTTTCGGTGGCGTAATAAACACACCAGGTGAGACCAGCAGATGGTGTAATGGTTACATCTCTGGACTCTCAGGTAGTCGACCACGGTTTGAGTCCCAGGCCCAGCAGCTTGAAACTCACTCCAGGCGCATGTGTGTATGCGTGTGCCCAAAATCCTGAGAGGAAAATGGAAGAGAAGGGATCGCAGCATGGCCATCCCCCCTGGGGGTGATTTCTCACCATGCGCTCTATAGCAAAATCTCTCTTAAAAGAAAAACAGGCACATGTATGTGCCCAAAAGTCTCGGGAGCAGAAGGGAGGAGAAGGGATTGTTGGGTGACTATTCTCTCAGGGGGTGCTTTCTCACTTTCTTTCTCCACCGAGCATATGCATCCTATAGCAAAATCAAAAGAAAAAGACTTTCTATGGAGAAGATCTGAATCTATTGTTTTGAAGTCAGTGTTTAAAATTTTCACTTGGAAATCATTTAACACTCACTAGAAGTTGCAAAGATAATAGAGAGAGGGCCTTTGAACCCTTCACTCAGCTTCCACAGATCACGTCTTGGATGAGCAGGAAGTTGGGGATGGTACGGTGCTGTTGGCTGAACTGTAGACGCCATCTGGGTTTCATAGGTGTCTGTGTTTCAGGTGTGTATTTTAGGGGCTTGGGGATTTGTGTCCGGAGTGTGTGTGTATGACGGTCATTTTTATCCCACAGAGATCTGTGTAACCACCCAGATTCCTTCAAGTCAGTTCTTTGATTCTTGATTTCTTTTAAACAATGCACTTAAACTGCCAAGCCTCAGACTGTTTTAAAAATTTTTTTTTCCCCAGAATAATTGTGGACTCCTCTATTTTAGGACAAAATCTCCAAAAATCTTGCCAGATATTCTAAAGAAAATTGGGGACACCCCCATGGTCAGAATCAACAAGATTGGGAAGAACTTTGGCCTGAAGTGTGAGCTCCGTGAGTGCCGGGCATTGGAGGGGGCTTTCTCCATCTGGGCCCAGCAGTGGCTGGGTGGGCCTGGGGGGATGAGACGGCCCCTTAGACAAGGCTCTAGGTGGAGGTGCAAGCAGCAGGATCAGGAAATGAACCAATTATGGGCTAGCCTAATAGTTAAGGGTGTCAGACTCCACTCGTCCAACCCAAATCCCTGCTCTGGCAACTTGTAAAACATGGCAGGTGTGTGTGTGAGAGAGAGAGAGAGGAGAGAGAGAGAGAGAGAACCCAAAATCTTGACAGGATTAAGAAATAGAAGAGAAGGGATTGTAGTGTGACTATATCCCATTGGGGGTGCTTTCTCCCTCTCTCTCTCTCTCTCTCTCTCTCTCTCTGTCTCATGAGTACATGCGTCTTCTGCCATTTAAAAAAAAAAAAAAAAACAGAAAAGACAGGATGCAAGGTAATAAGTGGTCGTGGTGATACCAGTGAAGTTACAAAAGAAAATACATCAGGTTGATGTTTTAGCGGGCGACCAAGGTGGCCATACCAGAGCCCTTGGGGTAACCTTGAGCTGAGGCCTAAAGGTGAAGGAAGTAGGTGGGACAATCTGGGCAGAGGTCAAAGGTGAAACTTGAGCAACTGAAGAGATTGAGTGCAGTGGGTTGGCCTTGGGCTTTGTAGGGAGGCAAAGACAAGCTCTGGTGGGCCACGTGACTGTAACAGGCCCTCAGTTCCCAGCCTCAGAGGAAGCGCTTGTCTCTGCTGTGCTAGCTTCATGGGGACTGACCATTGGCAGTCATGAGCGAGGTGAACAATGGGAATTTGGAGGCTCCATGGCCGGACTTGTGCTAAACAAGCACAGGGTCACCTGAGAGTCTTACTGAAGTTGTTGGGAAGGGTGGTTCTTTGCAGGAAGCTGGTCCTAGAACCCAGGGGGTGGAGGGGATCTGTCACCAAGAGCCCAGGTTCTGGGTGGCCTCAGCATCCCACAGAGGAAAGGAAAAGGGCAGATACAGAGATCCTGGGAGGGGGCAGGTTTGTGTGTCTGAGGAGCTTGGGGGGGCAAGTGAGCAAGAGGGGGAGGAGGGGCGGGAGAAGTACTGAGAAGAGGTGGGGAGCCAGTAACTTGGATCGGACATTTACACTCTGAGGTTCCTGTTAAAAAAGAAGAGATGAGGGCCGTCAGGTGCCGTGGTAGCTAAGGGTGGCTAAGGGCGCTGGACTGCCACATGGCTCACCCAGTTCGAGTCTGGGACTTGGCGTCTTGCTTTCTCACTTTTCCTCTCTCACTCTCTCTTTCTCATACTCTGTCCCTCTCTGGTCAAATTAAAATAAATAAAGTCAAATAAAATAATTCTTAAAAAAAAAAAAAAGAAGAAGGGGCAGAGATGGAGGCCAGCAGATGGTATGGTGGCTAAGGTACTGGATCTTCACATGGTCAACCGCAGTTGGAATCCCAGACTTGGTGGCTTGAAAATCACACGAGGTACACATGTGTGTGTGCCCACAATCCCTAGAGGAAAATGGAGAAGGAAGGATTGAGGGTGTGGCTACCCCCACTGGGGGATAATTTCTCACTTTCTCTCTCTCTCTCTATCTCTATCTCTGGCAAGCACGTGCACCCTATGGCAGAAATCTAAAAATAAAGGAGAAATGGGGCCAGCAGGTGTCGTGGTTAAGGCCCTGGATCCCATGTGCCAACTGCACGGTCAGAGTACATACAGTGCACGTGTCCCATAACAAAGAGAGAGAGAGAGAGGGCGCTGCAGTGGGCATGGCACAGGAGCGTGCAGGACGGGGCCTTGGAGACCGAGGGCTGACTCACAGGAGGGGCTGTGTGGCAGGCTTCTCTGAGTGAGTGAAAGCTAGCTTTGTGAGCAGAGCTGGGCTCATAGACTGCACCAGAACAGCCGCCTTCCTGGAGACCCCAGTGCCCAGGAGGGCCTGCTCTGAGCTCACTGCTCTGCTATTAGAGACCATTAACTCATACCCAGCAGGTTTGGGCCTGCACTACCACACTCCATAGCACGCAGCCTCTACACTCGGCAGCGGCCTCTGGAGTGGGTTTTGGCATGCCCATCTCACGGACAAATGAAGGCCCTGATTGGGAATGCAGCCAGCTAGGCCCTCGGCTGGTCAGCTCTGATCCTGCTCCGGGCTGGCTTTCCCGAGGGCTGGTCAGGAGGGTCTGACTGAACACTGCATAGTGCAAAGCATAGCCAGGCCCTAGGGACAGGCCAGCCACACACACAGCACTTCGGCTGCCCTGGGGCTGATGTCTGCCTGGTGGTGGCCTTCAGAAACCAAGACAAGGTGGGCAGGAGGACAAGGCTTTTTGTCAGGTGTGGTAGGCAGGTCCTCAGTCCTTCACATCGGTCCTTCACATCATATCTAGTGCAGCCTAGCATTTCCGCCTTTCAAAAGCCACGCACTTCAAAGAGATGGGGAGGGAACACCTTCCAATAGGAAGGAAGAGCACAGGCCCAGGCCTTGGCCCAAGAGGGAAAACATGTCTGTCGTGAGTGAAGAGCACAGAGCACACTCCATGGGCCAGGAGGAGGATGTAGGGTCGTCCTAGTGGCTTGGCCAGCAGGGGCATGATCTGGGGGCCGTGCCTTCAGGACGTGGGTGGGTCTGGTAGAGACCACTGAGTGTGGCTGCAACACCTGCCCCACTGGGAGGGTGGGGGCTCAGCTCCAGCTGCCCGCTGAGTACCCAGCTCTTCGCTGTTGAGGCTGTGCTGGCCCAAGGGGGCTCTTTCTGACCCATGAGCCAGAGGGCTCCTCAGTGCCTTCACTCTGTTGCCGCGTGGTCTGCAGGGGTGGGTGGGGCAGGCTGGGGTTGCAGCTCTGACCAGCAAGCTCCCAGCCACCGATGTGGGAGGCTTGGAGAGGTGGGCATTTTCAGACAAATAAACCTGGCCCCCATCCTGGGCAGATCAGGCGAAGGGGAGGGGTAAACAGGATCAGCGGGAGGCCAGGGGCTTTCTCTCAGGACTCCTCTCTGGCTCCCAGTGGCCAAGTGTGAGTTTTTCAACGCGGGCGGGAGCGTGAAGGACCGCATCAGCCTGCGCATGATCGAGGATGCCGAGAGAGAAGGGACTCTGAAAGCCGGGGACACCATCATCGAGCCCACATCTGGGAACACAGGTGGGTGCAGTGGCTGGCTCGGGCTCTCCTCTGCCTATGCTGAGGCTGTGGACAAGAGAGAAAGGCACAGTGTGGTTGGCAGCTGTGCCTGTGTACAGGAGTGAGCCCCAGACTAGCGTCCCCTGACATCTGCCATCGGCCTGTGTGGGCACGCCTGCATCTGGGGGTGCCCCCAGGTCAGCTCCAGGGCTTGGCCCAGAGGAGCTGGCTTTACGTGCTCCTCTTTCTGAGCGCGCTCGGAAGCCTCTGGCTCTCTCTTTAACCCCGTCGTTCGAGGGCAGAAGGAGGCTGTGCTGGTCCTGCAGGACCCTTCCCCCAGGCCTTCCAGATGAAACTGCACACGGCATGTCTGTGGCGTCCCAGGCAGGGGTGGGCAGGGTTTGGGGGGTATGGTCCCCTCTCACACTCTGCATGCTGCCCTCAGGGATTGGGCTGGCCCTGGCTGCCGCAGTGAAGGGCTATCGCTGTATCATCGTGATGCCGGAGAAGATGAGTACGGAGAAGGTGAGTCTGCGGGGTGGGCACAGGAGGGCCAACAGGGCTGAGTTTGCAGGGTGAGGCTGGGAGATAGGGTGGGGCTGGCAGGGTGGGTCTTGCTCTGCTTGGGGTAGGTGCCTGGTGGGAAGATAATCGAGGCCACGACCTTCCCTTGGTGCAGGTGGATGTCCTGCGGGCCCTGGGGGCTGAGATCGTGAGGACTCCCACCAATGCCAGGTTTGACTCTCCCGAGTCACACGTGGGGGTGGCCTGGCGGCTGAAGAATGAAATTCCCAATTCTCACATACTGGACCAGGTGAGGCACCGGGCCTGGGAGGTAAATACGCAGAGATTGGTGCCTCAGTAGGGTGGTTTCCTGGGAGCTCTGCCAGCGACCTGAGGGTGCCATAGCTGCAGCGGGCGTGGGGTGGCCAGCGTTGCTCATGGCTGCTGGTTTCTCCCTGGACCTGGGTGAGTCCTCAGAGCTGGGTGGAATGGAGGAGGGCTA